ATGACAGCTCTGGGTCCGACTCGTGTTCGGTTTAAGTAAGGTTTAGGGTTTAAGGTTTAGGGTTTAGGGTTTAGGGTTTAAGGTTTAGGGTTTAGGGTTTAGGGTTTAGGGTTTAGGGTTTAGGGCTTCAGGCTTAGGGCTTCTAGGGTGCTCGATTTCCTGCACTCTGGGAACCCTCGATTTTTCCTAGGTCTAATGGATGAAAACTCGTAGGACTGGTGCTGAGAGTTTGGACTCCGACTTGAGAGTGCTTACCCAGAGAACCCAATACCCCTTAATTAAGGAATATACCTTAAATCATAATATTAGGGCCCCTATAATTTAAGGTATATTCCTTAATTGTCTCCATTGTAGTTCCTTTTTTGGGGGGATGCCTGGTAAAATCCTTAATATATAATTGGCTATAAAAAAAAGGAACTACAATGGAGACTACAGGTATTTAGTTCGTCTATTCGAAGACCCTAAACCCTAAACCTGCTTTTGTGCTTATGGTCTAGGTTCTCGCGGCTCGGTGACTGCCAGGCGAGGTTCATCGGCGCACAGGCTCACAACAAGGCTTCCCTAAAGGTTCGGGAGAGTTTAGGATTTCTGTATCCGACCAGCGACTCGGTCGTCTAATGTACGTAGGGGCCTAAATACCTAGAATAGGGTTTTAAGGGTTCCTTCTTATAATTATAGTATACAGGGCCCCAGCATTCTAATTATCAAGGCCCCTATCTTACGTTTCTGCGGTCGCCGGAAGCAGAATCTGGACCACGAGAGACACACCGCGACAGAAAAAGGGCTCAAAGCTGGATAACATGAGCCACCATGCACTATGTAAACTTTCAGGCCATGCACTATGTAAATTTTCAGACCCCAGCCCAACAAAGAGCTGTGTCTAACCGCCAAAGCGACTTCGTCGGCCACTCCGGCCACGCGTGTAAAGCGGTGATCGCTGTGGCAGCTATGCAAAGCCTGAGAGGTTTGATATCAAGCTTCAGTGCTTGAGGGCCTCTGTTGCTGCGGGATTTACAGCTCAGGACTAGGGTTTCATGTAGGGTCTCGAGATCTGTGAGTCTAAACATTGGTCCAGGCAGAGAGCCACCTGCGGTTTGGAAGGCATCTGTGTCCTCTGGCCAGCTCATCTGACATGCAACTTGGAAGCAGCTCCAAGCAGCAGCCGAAGAAGACCTCCGATTCCCGACTGGCTCAATGTTGCTGTGAAGGGTCCCACAGTTGCCACCGAGCGACATGTCGAATCAAGCTGATATGGTCAACAAGCAACATCCCCTAACCCCCCCAGGTACCTACTATATAGGGTACTAAAGCCCCTAAGGCCCTATATAGTAGCTACCTGGGGGGTTAGGGATCTCTACTCCTCCATTGAAACACCTGCGTTCCGAAACCCAACTTCCCGTCACAGTTCGGCCGCATTGGTACCATGTCAGGTCGGCTTCCTCCAGCAATCGGAAGCCTCAAGACCGGAAGTCCTCAAATCACGAGAAATGGGAGTTTCCGAAAATAAGGGGTACCTTATTTTGGAGTCCTTATAATAAGGATCCTACTATTTAGCCTTATTTTGGAGTCCTTATAATAAGGATCCTGCTATTTAGAGTACTATATTAGGGTCCCATATTTTCGGAAACCCCCAAATCGGAACACCTGAAACCGCAACTCCTTCAGCCAAGCTTCGACGTCGAACAACGAAGTATCCGAAAGCGGCAGTGCACCCACAATGAGCGGAGCCACGGAGCAGGATGCAGACAGGAACCTCGCGAGTCTAAGCGGTCTCGAGAACGAGGAGTCTGCGAAACTTCAACCTGCCATAAGCCTCCATAAGCCCACTCCAAACACCAAAGATGGTGTGTTTCGAACGCAAGGTAAAGGGGGTTATCTTGCTATGAATCCGTCTATCTTTCTGTCTGTCTGTCTGTCTGTACACCTGCGCAAAATCACATGTATATGTCAGTGCCAAGAAAGATATCACTCGCGTAAGCCTGTTCCAAGAGGGTTCGTACTGGGATTGGAGTCTCTGCGGTTGTGCACTCGACTGTCCCTCTCTGGCCTGTCTGAGGTTGCATGCATAGCCGCATCTTGGAGCGTTGCCAGTGTCGACGTTAAGACTCTAGGTTCTGTTCCTGGCTACTAAACCCCTAAACCCCTGTAAACCTCTAAACCCCTAAACCCTACCACGTTCACATGACGTGTACCCTAACCCGCCAGGTACTTACTATATAGGGTACTAGAGCCCCTAGGGCCCTATATAGTAGGTACCTGGGGGGTTAGGGTGTACTTATGTCCAGGCACTTGGCGGCCCGCTGAGCGCCGTTCGCTCCCAGCCCGGCCAGAGACCTCTGGTTTCAAGTAGCGGTAACGGTTTAGGGTTTAGGGTTTAGGGTTTAGGGGTTTAGGGTTTAGGGTTTAGGGCTTCGGGTTTAGGGTCTCGGGTTTTGGGGCCTTAATAATTAGATTAGAATAGGCTTCCTTTAAGGGTTTTTTAAAGGGTTTCTATAAGGGCTACTATGAAGGTTTAGGGTTCAGGGGCCATAATGGGGCATGTAGGAGCCTTACCCATAGGCCACATAGTAGATCCTTTTTGGAGTGCATATTTAGAATCCTGTAAGGTAATCCCCCAAAAGAACTACTATGGGGCCTTTGGGTAACAATTAGAAGAGGGTTTTGGGGGGCTCCTTTTTATAGTTACAATGGTTAAGGCCCCTACTTTAAATACATGAAGAACGAAAGTAGTCGTATTCTTGCATGCGCTGTTGCCGCCTTCATCACGAACTGTCCCAAACACTGAACTTCGTTGTAGGACACGCCCAATTACAACCGTTGTCATCACCACCACCGTCATCAGCTATGGCATAGGCTTCAGTGAAGGGTCACGGGATTAGGATTGAAGCTGAGAAAGACTGCAGGTGTACGTGGGGACAAAGGATGTTGGCCACGTAAGTTACAGTGATGCGACTCGTTCACGGAATTGCTCGTGTATGCCGTGCTGCCGATGCATAAAGACTCTTTGGCATTCCTGATCAAGAGATGGGAAATCTACGAAACACGAGCGACCACTGTTATGAGCTCTGAGCTCATGTATCTGTCGTTCGCCATGCAAACCTGCAACCGATTCCTTTGCAAAGGAGGTGGGCTGCGTCCTGGACTCAACTTGGAAACAAGAATGTAGCCAGGGCTCTGAAAAAGGGCAATCTGATTCCTCAGCCATGCCAAACTTCCAGCTGTGCACATGAACCACTTCCGCAAAGCTATGAACATCTGCGCTCCTCCTACCTCCTCCCCCTCCTCACTCCTCTGCCTCGTCCTCCTCCTCCTCCTCACTCGCCTACTGCCGCTCCACAGCTACTCCTGCTACTTCTACTGCCTCACGGTGCCACTACCACTACCACTACGACGACGACCACGAGTACCACCAGTGCTGCCGGTGCTTCCAGTGCTACCAGTACTACCAGCAGTGCCAGTACTATTACCAGTAATTCCAATGCCATCACTACTGCTACTGCTGCTGCTACTGCTACTGCTTCTGCTACTGCTTCTGCTTCTGCTGCTGCTACTACTACTACTACTACTACTACTACTGCTACTGCTACTGCTACTGCTACTGCTACTGCTACTGCTACTGCTACTGCTTCTGCTACTGCTACTGCTTCT